ATACATATACATATACATATACATATACATATACATATACATATACATATACATATACATATACATATACATATACATATACATATACATGCATACACACAATTTGAGTAGCTGCATTTTCATATATTTTCCCTTTGTACTATCTGAGCTACAGAATGGTATGAATTGATGTAATTTCTTGGCAAATATACAAATGCCCATTTCTACAAAATGATTTCATTGTGTTAAAAAGAAGCAGAAAGAAATGAGGTTTGATTTCTAGTTTTGAGGAGAGAAGGGCTATAAAAGAAAAAAATAGATTACAGTATAGAAGTTAGGATACATTGCATGTTACTACTATAACTAGTTTTACATTATTATCCTGCCTCCCCAGCTTTCCTTAAATACCTTTAGATGATGAATTTCAGTAATTTTAAATAGTAGAATTTTTTTCCCCGTCAAGGGTTTTGAAATTATATAAGAATAAATTCTTTTCAGGAACCAGTTTGGTGCAGTGGTTATAGCACCAGGCTAGAAACTGGAAATGTGAATTTTAGTTTTTCCTTAGGCACAAAATCAACTGGATGACCTTGAGTCAGCCATAAACAGTCCTAGGAAGAAGGCAGTAGCAACCACTTCCAGATGGATGGATGGATGGATGGATGGATGGATGGATGGATGGATGGATGGACGGACGGACGGACGGACAGAAATTCTGGATGGTATCCCATCCAAGCATTAGGTTTTTTGATATTAGTTAAAATCAACTAGATTTTATCCCCTAGCTAGTTTTAAAAATGTGCAAAAGTTCCATTCATATGTTATGGATTAGGAATTTAGAGAGTGACCTTTATTGGACTCTGAACAGGCACTAATGGTAATTTAGTTACTGCTAATAAAAAAGTTAATAATTAATGTGAAACTTCATAAGTATTATCGTTTCTTATAGCTGTGTGTAGACTCTCTCTCCCTCTCCTCCACCATGTCCTCAATGTTTTTTTTATTTAAGAAATAGCCTGTTTTCTTGAAAATATGGACACTGACTTTTCTATACCAAATGGAAGGGCAGGGATATATATAATGACATATATAGCTGAACTTATTATTTTCCTAAGGCGTAAAGAAATCAGTGTGACAAAGGGAGCGGGGATGCAGATCTCAACCAAATTAGATTTAATTTTACCTGTTAACTAGCTCTAAAAAATCAGTAGAGGATTTGTGAAATGCAATTGGAAGTTCAGTCCCTTTTTTAAAAAAAAATTTTTTGTTCTTCTAACAGATCTTTGCAGTATGCTTCCCCACTTCCTCTATCCCTCTAGCAATTTGACTATGGAGCAAGCTTTGGATAGTCAAATAACACTGAACTGCACTGTGCAGCTACCTTTCAGTAACGACTGTGATCTTGACCTGCGCTGGATGAAGGATAATCAGTTCTTAGACAATAAAACTCATTCTTCTTATACTCAGTGGTAAGAAAACTTTTATATAAAATTATCTTTATTTGGGTGCACAGTGGTGGCAGTGCGGAAAGTAGGAAGTCTCTCAAACTGAAGATTTTTGAAGACAATCATTGATCGTACTGTATGTGGAACTGTCTCTGAAGTTCATTCAGAAACTTCAGCTGGTGCAGAATACAATTGTGAGTTTAATAAATGATGCCAAATAGATGACACACATAATACCACCTCTGTGTAAACTGCATTGGTTACCAGTGTTTTTCTGGTGCATTTCAAGCTGCTGTTGGTTACTTTCAAAGTGCTACATGGACTGAAGTATCTAAGGGGTTACCTTTTTGCAAGAGATTCTATCTATCTATCTATCTATCTATCTATCTATCTATCTATCTATCTATCTATCTATCTATCTATCTATCCACTCCATCTTCCATCAATTAAAGAGTGTTGTCTGGCAAGGACT